GCAACACAATTTTTTATAGCCTTTTATAGCCGATGGCGATAAAGTTTATGCTGAACGTGATTACATTTCATTTAGCCACGGCTCGTGGCGCCACGCAACAAAAATTGTTGCGTTTAGCCACAAGTTATAGGTGCTGTGTGGCTAAATGAAACATTCAAAATGAGTGTGGCTAAATGCAACAAATTTTGTTGCGTGGCGCCACGCAACAAAAATTGTTGCATTTAGCCACAGATTAGTGAGATAGATTTGGGTTGACTCATGAATACTGAGGGTAATCTTCTAGGCGAAGCATATTAGATTAGGTAAATTTAGACAGCCACAATTCAACATATTGTTAGCGAGGCCCACGTCGCGTCGCATCGGACCTGACCTAACCCAACCTAACCTAACCTAACCTAACCTAACCTAACCTAACTTAACCTAACCTAACTTAACCTAACCTAACCTAACATAACATAACCTAACATAACCTAACCTAACCTAACCTAACCTAACCTAACCTCAGGTGGATTAGGCCCTGTGGCGCTGGGCCCGGATTTTTTCATGCGCTACTGAGCGACGCGGGCCTCGCTACCCGATGCGCGCCCGTAATTCAGGCGATAGGCAATCGTGAGTTGTGACGCTCGGCCCTGTGGCGCTGGGCCCGGTTTTTCCATGCGCTGGTGCGTAGTGCCACGCTCGAAAGTTTATGAAAGTTGGTTGGACAGTTTTTTTACGAAAGTCAAAGATGAGCGGAAAGTCAACTGTAAGCAGAACTTTGTGGCAGGTTGCACTAGCACTTCAGCGGTTTTAAACATAAGGGAAATTTGAGGATTTTGCAGGAGTGTGGCGCCACACTCTGTGGCGCTGTGCCCGAATTTTAGCCGAGATCCGAACGTGGCGCCAAGATCTGTGGCTCATTGCACCGTAGCCCTGTTGGCTGCGGTGCAATGAGCCACAGATAACTCAGATCACACATAACTTCTGTGGCTAAATGCAACATTTTTTGTTGCGTGGCGCCACGCAACAAAATTTGTTGCATTTAGCCATACTCATTTTGAATGTTTCATTTAGCCACACAGCACCTATAACTTGTGGCTAAACGCAACAATTTTTGTTGCGTGGCGCCACGAGCCGTGGCTAAATGAACAGATACCCTGAACGTAACTAATTACGGATGCTAGGACTTAGTGAGTTTATGGACTACCGCTCTCTTTTTGGACCGTAGTATCTTGATTTATTTTGCGAGGAAAGCTCCGTTCTTTTGAAGGATACTGTGCAATACCTCTGGTGTGAAATAGTTGATTCAAGCGCCGTGGTACGCTGCGGCGCGGCGCGAAACGCGCATTGGCGCCTACAAACCTAACAGGGATACTTCACGCATTGCGCAACGTGGAGTCAGCGTTTTTCAACTCATGGCTGTTTGCACACTGAAATGTTTGCACACTCTGTATGAATTATTCTCATTTTAATTGATGAAAAAAAAATATGTAGTAAAGGAAAATATAATGTGCGTTTTGTAATTATAAAAATTGATTCCGTACAAACTTAAGGATTTACAAAGCACACGAATCTCTACACAATTTCTTATGGCCTTTTATAGCCGATGGCGAAAAAGCAACAGCCAGGCGATAAAGTGTAAAGCCCGCCGATAGGAACTATAGCCCGGCTGTATAATTTTTTATCGCTTCGTGTAACCCGGCCGTATAATTTTTCCCACTTTCTACAGCCAGCTATATGGTTTTCTATCGCCTTCTTCAGTCGGCTTAAGAACTCCTATCGCCAATTTTTACCAGGGAATCTTTGGTGATGTTGAGTATATAGTTGTTTGTTTAATAAAATAAGTATACCAGGAAGTCTACAACGTCACCAACGGAGGTATGTTTTAGGAGTTTCAAACCGAAATGCGATCAAATACTTTTGCTGGTTTATTACCAATTAACTAATTCAAGCTTGAAAAATGTAAATTTCGATTCTAGAGCAAAATCTGGAAATACTGTATATTCATGGAAAGAAGTGCTTATTTTTTAAAACGATTATTATAACTTATGTTTTAAAACGAATTCATAATAGCGAAAATATCAGCGCCGTTCTCTCATCAATGGTACTCAGTTCACATTTTTCAATGTATGTACTTTCAACCATATTGACCGATATTTTTGTGTGAGTAATATAATGCGCTGAAGTCCGGAAATCGGCTTCATAACACAAAAAGTAAGGACAGCATTCTTGAATATAGTGAATTCTATGATATTTAACCAAATTTTCAATGTGGAAAGGTCATTTATGCTTAATGTCATCCAATGATAAATATTGTATCAATTTTTTTCAGCTTAGAGGACGTCAGGAGAAATAATTTCTCGTGTCGTGAATTTGCGAAGAAGTACAACTTTAGCAAGCCAGTGGCAGTTAATTTCTTCTACGCTCGGACACTTTGAGGTATATCGAATCACTTTCGGTTTCCCGGACTTGGCTGGAAATAAGAAAGTTTACGTCGAAACTTTAATTGCACATTCTGAGATATCACGTAAATTCATCTTAAACAGTTAGCGAATTTCCTTAGAGTTTTTTGAAAAACAACTCAATTTTTTTTGTCTTTAATACCTGTGGCCACTGAGAGCTTGCAAGGAATTTTTTGGCGCGTATACGTAGTATACCGCCTTTGCGATCGTTTCGACCCCCCCCCCCCCCCCC